TTATTATAAGTAATAGCATGGCTCTGAGGGAGATTAGGGATTAAATGTCCCCGAAGCCGAGGGCAGATAAGTTGAAGTCCCGACGGCCGCAGGCCGGAGGGACTTTTACTTATCTGCCCGAGGCTGAGGGACATTTAATCCCTAATCTCCCGAGGAAGCCATGCTATTACTTTGTAATACCATGATTTCCGAGGAAAAAATTGAAGTTGAACTTGAGCGAATTTGAATTCTTGTTTTTTTGTATGCTCCAATGTTTTCAATTCATGCATGAATTGGAATATGACATGAAAAGAAAGGATACGCACTGTTCTAAGAGTATCACTCGCCGAACAACAGTACAAAATTATATTGATAATCCGACCATTGTTACTGATTTCCCACAACGAACTTTGTTTGAAATTGCTTTTCAGTTCTATTCAATGCTGAAGTTAACTAACCTTAACTTCAACCGCGAAAAGTTATTTTTATATTTGCAAGTATAATGCCAAGAAGCTTATCAACTATCATCAAACATTGAAATTCGTCAAGTGCACATGCTCAGCGGTACGAAGTAGATACTCGGAACCAGAGCTACTCGGTCAATTTGTCCCAAAAATCATTATTAGTTTACAACCAAAGTCGCTCGAAATCACCCAAATTTGCGACCCAAAGTAGTTTCACATAGTAGTTACACATAGTACACCCGGGGGGCACTCCCCGGAAACTTGGGTGGGGTTGTGCCACTGGGACCTCAAAACCCTGAGCCTGTTCCAGAGGAAAATCGCTGAAAACGATACCCTGTTCCAGAGTAAAATCCTGCACTAGCCTGCGTGTAGACCGAATTTTTACCCCATGAATTTTTATCCAGCACCAATAATTCCGGAATTCAACCCTGACCCTGTTCCAGAGAAAATTCGTTGAAATCGATACCCTGTTCCAGAGTAAAATTGCTAAAAACCGATACACAGTTCCAGAGTAAAATCGCTGAAAACGATACCCTGGCTGGCGGCACGTCTCCGTATAGCGAATATAGGGGAGTAACCCCCCTTTTTTTTCTATTTTCTTGAATTTCCGTCATTCCGCATGATTGTTTCGGTATAAAACCACGAAATAATGTCTTCTTTATGATTAATTTGTGGTTTTGCAGTAAAGTTAAGTAAACCTGTAGACTATTGAATTCAAAATGAGCTGAGTGATTGCACTAAAAAAACTTGCGTTACCAGTCGATTAATATGGCTGAGAAAGAAGGACATATACCGCCAATGAAAACAAACTACATAAAAGTCAAACATTGTTATCAATCTCATGTTTTGGTTAGCTTTCGTTTTGGATGTTTTGATTTGTTGATTTGCTCGACTGCTTCTGATGTGCAGCAGGAATAAATTTATTAAATAATTTTGAACTGCTGTTTCTCACCAACGAAGCCTGGAATTTTCTGAAGTACAAAAATCGCAGTGGATTATGGTCCAGCTCAGTACACCATATTTGGAAAAACAAAATATGTTTGTATCAAATCTAGACCACAATGCAAAATTGTCAAGCTCGGGAATTTTGGACTAAAAACATTAAGAACCGGCCGATGTACTTATAAATGAACGGTATATTATGTTTATATATTGAATTTGTCTCGGTGCTGTAGAGAACATTTTGTTTTCAATACATGAACACGA